CCGGTTCAATAAAGTCGATTAACTTGATTTTAACTTTTAAACTTTTAACTTGTAAGGTATGTACTTATGTTTGAGCTTGTTTCTTCACACTTTGCCCCGTGTTATACTAGTACTAGAGGCGTTAACCATCTTTCCCTTTGGCTACACTCCTTAAGTTCTAAATATTTAAATTTAAAAAAAAATGTTTTTCTCTTAAACACTCCCCCCCCCCCCCAACGGGGGGTATGGGTTTAGGGTTATGGGGTACCATAAATGTTCTGTGAAGTAAATGCAACCGGTCCTACGTTGCAGTGTTTCTCAAATCGTGTAAAAGTCCCTTGGGCTACCAAAAAAAAAATAATAATATGCCTAATCATGTAATAAGGGGGTAGGTGGCTGTTCTCTTCCAGTCTTATGACTGACACCTCAAGAACTTCCTATCTGTGCGAAAGGACTTTCTCTGGCAGGTCAATAATAAAAACCAAACCGAGATATCGAATGGATGTTACTGTAACGCTTCGTATATAAGAAACAATGCTACTGTCACATATTTAAAATAAATGTCGTATCTAAGCAGCAGCAGCCGAAAATGTTAATTCTGTGGCACCGGATGTAACACACAACCAATTAAATTTGTTTTTGTTTCGGGTTTAGTTCCAATATGTTTTTGGGCGGTGGGTGTAACAATGTTGAAGAACAATGCCATATAGAAAACCTCACCTATCAAGTGTGGGGGCCGCCGTTGTCTAGCGAGCAGACGCTCGCCTGCGGATCGGAGGGTCATGAATTCGGGCTCTGATAGGACCGGACCTTGGCTAAGAGGTCGACCTAGCCTAGAGTGGGTACCAGGTCCAGTCCTGGGAAATAAAGGCGGTCGGCGTTATGCTGACATCACCCACCAAGTTCCGTTTGGTCTAGTAAATAAAGGTCTAACTTTATAACACAAAGGAGTGGAAAAGGGTCCTATACTTCCCCTTTTACCAATCAAGTTTCAACAGATCAATAACACTTCAGGGCCATAAACCACACTCGTCTAACGTGCCATAGAACGCGGAGGAAAGCTCTAGTCAACATACAAGACTCTACAATGATAAGTGCATGGGGGGAATAGTCTTGATTCCTCCGCTCGGTAACCAACGAAAGCGAACAGCACTTCTTTGTACGCTAAGTTTCGTTATAATCATCCCAGGTCCACAGGCGATCACGAAAGCGCATTCCGCCATAGCACATTCGCATTCAGAAGGAACCGCTCAGTCGCTATGTATAGCTGCAACAACATGTGATACTGTGTGTGGGTTTCCGGGACCCCAATTTGAGGAGAACAGACCCAATGCCCCCCCCCCCCACTAGCATGTCGTACAAGCCGACTGAATCATGCATGTTTCCTTTGAAGTGGGCGTACACCTGCCTGCCAGACCAGCAACCAAGTCTACATATAAATAAGCCAGATCTGGATCACAAAACGGAAATTTCCGCCCGAGTTTTCAGCCGTGAACACGAAGAACCTGTAACACCGAGGAGGTTCTTAACCTGGTCAGTCAGCTAGCCGTATCCAGACGCGCGCACACAACACTAATTGGGGTATTGGGGAAATACGTGGAACAGAACTGGTCACGTCAGCGCATAAAGCCGGGACCTAACAGACATAAACGTACAGCATCCCATTCATTCAGTGTTTGCTTCAGTATCCTTTACAGGACGTTGCAAAACTAACATTTAGTGGCTGTTGTTTTACTAGGCAAACTTACATTCAGAAGTTTGCCAGCGCTACGGAATTGCCAGCTCTCGGTACCACTGTTGAAACAAGCGACAAATTGTCCGCACCAGGAATCGAACCCAGCACTCCGGCATTACGAAGCCTAAGCCACAGACACCGACTACTTCCGTACTCCCATCTTTTTTGCCTGTGTTCCCTTTCTGTACTTCGCCTGAAGCTATTTTATGAAGTTGAAGCAGCCGGCCTCACCCCAGCGCTTTACTGGGGAGCCAAGAGACGGGCGAGGGGTCTATAAGTGACTTACCCCAGGAGCTGATCCCCCGACAAGACATGAAGTGACAGACGTTAGCTATAAATGTGCGAACCGTGCCTGTTTTAACCAGCCGCCGCAGACGATAAGCGCCCGGCAGGTAATCTACAGCTCTGTTATCAGTATTTACTCTCCACTGTAACTGCCTTGTCTTTTAAATATAGCAAGTTGGCGCAATATAACAAACACCCTTCAAATAACTCTCGTTCTCTCTAAACACACCCTCATTCACATCACAAATTCCATGTGGAAGAGCTCTCCTCCTCCAAGCCCGGTACCAAGTGGGTGTACACAGGACCTGCGCTGCAGCCAAGCATCTGTGATGGGTTACCAGATCACGACTGGACACAGCACATATTTACTTAATTATACCTAACTAGAACAACAACCAACGAAGGAGTTACACCTAAAACGATTGAGATGAAAGAGGTCGTTCTAGGAGAATATGTAATGACGGCATTAAAGAGCTTCTACATAGAATGACAACAGCCACTGCTGTCCACTAGAAGATGGATCGCAAACTCTTCCTCCCCCACGTCGCTTAACGGCAGAGGTGACAATTGATGATGATTATTGTCATGTTTTCTGTCTCCTAGGGGTTTAAGACATTTCACTGTCAACAGACTTTAAACGAGCTCCTCCCCCCCCCCTTTTTTTTCCCCCCTTACACTTACATATAAAACCAATTCCGACTAGCTAAATAATTTTAAATGCATCGTTACTGTGAAGTAAACTCCATTTGGTTTTACTATTCCCTATGTTGTCTGTACCAAGGCGTAGAAAGAGCCAACAATTAATTTTAACACCAATATGTTCTTTTCAATTCCACAAAAGACAAGGCAAGGCAAAGGCAGTTCAGGGACAGAAAACAAATTTAACTGAAATCATTTTCATGGAAAGAAAGAAAGAAAAAAAAGGTGGGGTGGCTCATTGGGAAATAGAAAAACATTCAATGTTAGCTCTGTCTTTGTATTGGGTTTTCTAGCCATACTGTTGTCTTCACCATCAATTGGATAGCAGTCGTTCTTAACGCCTACAGCGTTTCTTTCTAGTTAGCTTTGAAGGAAGTGAGTGTGCACGTGCCGCAGATGTGTGCATGTGTGCTCGCGCATGTACGTCTGAAAGTTAATTAAGCTTTTAGTCAAGAAATAAGCATTTGAAATAAACGCTAGCCTTGACATTCGCCCAACTCGGGCTTTCCCTCAGTTTTTTGTTTCCTCTTCTTTCTAACCAGTCGAATTAGTAAGTAAGTAAATTTTACTCCATCAGGACACACAGAGAGCGATAAACACCCGGTGCGATATGCCACCATGTGGATGAGGATCACGTGTGGAGAGATCCCGGAAACAACGTTCAACCATTATACCGTATTGCGGCCAGGGTGGAGCTTCAAACTGACGCAAAATTGCATACCACAAAGAAGATGCCGAAAATGCACCAGCAAGAATAAACGTGTTCCGGTGAAATGACGAAGACAGCTAATAAAATAATGCAATATCAATGCAGCTTATAAAGACGCAAATAGGTCAACGCACTTATGAGAATTAAAGTAGCCTGCGAAACCAACATTCAACTACAGGAGATACGAAACTAAAACGGAAACAAAAAGGGGTCCTGTAATTTTAGCACACCCATTTTGGGGAACGTCAAATAGTATTGGGAGTCATCGAGTTACGGCCCTTGGAATAGACTACGGCTGTCTTTTCTTGTCGCATCTGTGGTTTCGTTTCATTGGCTTCTGGATATGTCAGTTACGTAATCTTGTGTATTCGCGTTGTTTTGTTTGATTTATGCAAAGTGCTTATAAAGGTTTTGTAGCCGCAACGTTAACTTTCAGTCTGTGTTCGTCATACTGTGAAGCTCGCTGATACACATTTTTCGTTAGATTTTATATCTTTCCACAATAGTATACTGGTATGACGGTGTGAAATCAGCGATTAACCCCCGCCCGCCCCCCCCCCCCCCCTAACGATTTTGGACTTTCTCTGGGAACTCTCGGATTCATCGAGATGTGGTGAACTACAGTCATAGTACCAAGAAACAGGACATGAGGAAATCTGTGATAAAAACCTGCCGAGGAAAGAATGAGAACAGAATGACGAGGAGGAGAGTAAGTCGGTCCAAAAGAGAAGCTTGTACAGATATCAGAAGGCAACGATCGGCAAAAATTAGCAAGTCGTGACATTACAGGAGAAACGACAGAACAGAACCGACTACAAAGTCGAGTCCACAAGATGAGGTAGTCAATGATGTCAACAGTCAAGGAACCCCTTGACACGCCTTCCCACATACTGGGCATACAGAGCTGGACCTATCTTTTACAGACCAGTCGGCACTTTGTAGGTGATGTGATCAGCATCATGCCGGCCGACTTTACTTCCCAGGACTCTACCTGGTACCCATTAAAGGCTGGGTCGAGATGAAAGCCCAGGTCATTTCTGAAGAGGAAGAAAAGTCCGGTAAGGTCAGGATCTGAACCCAAGACGTTCTGATCCGCGGCGAACGTCTATTCGCTACACAGCAGCGGCTTCCCTAGGTAAGTTATCTGTCAACTTTGTTCAGAAGTGTCTGTCTTCTAGCAGCAGACACCATAAACACAAACACACACAAAGAGAAATACAATGAGGGGGGGGGGGGCGACAGAGATAAAGCATAATTAATGGAATGAGAGAATAACAGAGACAGAGACAAACAAAGAGATGGGAGATAGACACAAAGCGGTGGAAGATAGTAGAGAAAGCAGGGGAAATACAAATGAGAGAGAAAGAAAGTGAGAGAAGTAACACAAAGGGAGAGAGATAGAGATAGAGATAGAGAGAGAGAGAGAGAGAGAGAGAGAGAGAGAGAGAGAGAGAGATAAAGTGATAGAGATAAAACGAGACATTAGAGTGAGTGAGTGAGAGAGAGAGAGAAAGAGAGAGAGAGATACGTTCCAATGCGCTAAGTGGCTCCCAGTGAGACACCCACACATGCAAACACACTGATTGAACATACCCCAATAATAGCGTTGAGCTCCTGCATGGTGACCTGCTTGGCTCTCTCTACTGCTGCCGCCACTTGTTGCTGGTGCTAGGGAAGACACAAACAACACATAGGGAAACACGTCATGTTGGCGGTTGATTGCGGATCTTCTGCAGTCATAAGAAGTTAAAGTCTAAACACACAGAGACAGAGAAGATAGTTACACACACACACACACATATATATATATATATATATATATATATATATATATATATATATATATATATATATATATATATATATATATATATATATAAAAAGAGAGAGAGAGAAAGAGAGAGAGTGTGCGTAAGTGGATTTCAATTTTTTATTCTCACCCCTGTCACTTAGCACGGACTTCTGAAATTATATTCTGCATTTAAATTCTTTGTGTCGGCTCTGTGGCTAAGTCGATGCGCACACTTCGTAATGCCAGGTTCGATCCCAGCTGCGGGCCATGCGCTGGTTTCTACAGTGCTATCAAGACAGCCGACCGTCCAGAAAGCAATGGCAAACTACTGGACATAAATTTGCCTAGAAAAACCACACAACAGCCAGATACTGTTAGGGTTGGTTCTGCAACGTCCTGTAAAGGATACGCAAGTAACCTTATATAAATTCTTTACCTGTTTCAGCTCTAAAGATTAACTGCTTTTATTTACTGATATTATCCCTGCCTCCAGCCCTCTTACAACTGCATCAAAACTATCCGTTACACTAAACTATCCATTAAAATAAACAAAACTCTCTCGAGAAGAGAAAAAGGAAAAGAATCAATGGCACTGACAAACAGGGACATTCGACAGTGAAATAGAATGGTGTGTGTATAAGACCATTGGTTCGTCTGTCACTGTCAATGGTGACCTTGAAACCCTTTCATGTTGAAGCCACATCTCAGTTAGCTTAATCTCTACTTAAATTATCTATTTTCTATATTACGTATTCCGAACAACTTATATTTTCCAAAACGCTTATCATATATATATATATATATATATATATATATATATATATATATATATATATATATATATATATATATATATATATATATATATATATATATTATATACTACTTGAAAATAACATTTCTGTATTGCTATTGCATTTGCCCCCGTGTGGGTTCCGGGGCCCCATTGTGGGGAAAACAAGAATAGACCCACTGCCTCCCCAAAAGCATGTCGTAAGAGTCGACTAATTGGGAAGCTTCCTTTGAAGTCGGAGTGCATCTGCCGGAGAGGCAAGGAACCAACAGTCTGTATTCAAGAGAATGAGATCTGTAAAACTGATGCACACGCAACACTCAGGTTCTGGAGCAGGACTGCAGTTCAGTAGTGGACGAGCAACCAGAACCTTCCGCCAGAGTTTACAGCTGGTGAACGTGAAGAAGAAGAAGAAGCTATTGCATTTGCAGCGGTAAACTATTTTCATTTACGTTTTTTTTCAACCATCCCTAGTTTGTTTCTATCACCCCCCCCCCTTTTCCTCTCTATCTCTTTGCTTAATTCTCTTCTACTGTAACCCTAATTTCTTCCACCTACTATGAAGTTGTTGCCAGTTTCCAGACAGTGATTACTTCAAAGTTGTTTCAACTTTCTTTTACAACTATAAAGTGTAGTATAAACAACCTATTAACTTCCTTTGACAGGCTTCAGCGGAGCACATGACAGAGTAGCGAACAGATTCACAAAGAGATGCTTGAACAAGCGCAGAAAAGTCCCTGTTTGGGCCAAATAATTTCAGAGGAAACTTATCAAAATGAAATGTGGTCTCAAAATGATTCGTATGAAACTCATAAAGATGAAAAGTGATCTCAAACCATTTCACAGGAAACATGAAGATAAAATGTGGTGGCAACATTTGGGAGTAAATTAATGAAGACATGTGATTTAGGATCATGAAAGGGTGGAAAAGGGGGTTGGGCGACACCACACTGAGAGAAACATTTCTAACATCAAACAACATCAAGTTGCTTATGTTAAAAATGACTACACATATCTGTCATTGCTGTGAAACATAAAATCTTAACAAATGAAAAGAACTTGGTAGCTTTTCAGATCTGGTGTTAATCTAGAATACAAAGAGTGATCTAGTCAGAAAAAGAAACAATAAAGAGACACATGAATAACAACACTTTCTTTAAGTAATTGGAGGAAACAGACTAACATGAAAGCCAGGAAAAATGCAGGCTGTAGCAGCAGGGTAATGGACTCTTGCTAGTAAACATATCAGATGGCTATAGAAAATGAGGGGAGTCAGAGTCCAAGAAATGACTACATCATACAACCATGTAAAAATGTTGCAGCTCATGCCAGGTTGAAGAGACATGCAGACAGCCATGAAGGTGCATGATCAGAGATCTTCACTGCCAGATTCTGTCTTAAAAAAAAAAAAAGGACTGATAAAACTAATATGCCTCCAGCCTGACAGACAAAACTGACATGACTCTAGTCTAAGATAGACAAAACTGACATGACTCTAGTCTAAAGATAGACAACTGACATGACTCTAGTCTAAAGATAGACAACTGACATGACTCCAGTCTAAGAACTGACACGATTCTGGTTTCTGTACAGAAAAAACTGACATGACTCTAGTCTAAAGACAGACAACTGACATGACTCCAGCCTGAAGCCCGACATGATTGTGGTCTCTGTACAAAGAAAAGTGACATGACTCCTGTATAAGGACAGACCAACAAAAAAACAGGACTCTAAAGACAGACTACTGACATGACTTCAGCCAAGGGACTGACATGATTCTAGTCTCTGGACAGACAAAACTGGCACTCCAGTCTCAGCACTGACACATGATGATGGAGAGTGGTACAGAAACTGTTTTCTGCTTTCGCCCCAAAAAGGCAGCTGGCATGTCATGTTGTGGTTTACAGCTAAGCTGTGATGATTGCCACCTTTCAGCATAATATATATTATTTCAGCAAACCGCCACTAAGCTGCTTTTTACAGCATGACTATTAAAGTATCCACTTCCTAGCGCCTCGGACTATTGTAGTTGCCACGAGTCTATACCGCTTTCTCCCCCCCCCCCCCCCCCCCCAAGAACCCAAACAGTGAAGTGCAGAAATTAGTTCAAACACACTCACCTCTTGAGACAGGAATGGTATAACTTGAGCACAAATGGCGTTCAGCCGTTTAGCAATCTCAGTCTGTGGACAAGAAAAAAGAAAACATGATGCAAATTAGTAAGCAGATTTTTTTCTCTCCCTCCGGCAGTGCTCAATGGCTAAACAATTGTTCAGCTCTATGTGTGATGGGAATGAGGTCAAGGCTGTGTTGGTTCTCCACCTCCCACACGCATAAGCTAGCAACTGACGGAATAGGTTGATCACTACTTCTTCTTCTTCCTCGAGTCCACCAGCTGTAAACTCCGGCGGAAAGTTCTGGCAGTTCAGCTACTTATGGATTGTAATCTTGTCCCAGAACCCGAGTCAATTCGTTTTATAGATATGTCTTATTCGTATGTAGACTCGGTTGCCCGCCTTTCTGCAATGAAAGCATGTTGATCAGATAGGACAATGGCTTCAGTTGGGAGTTTGCACCAGCACCACCACCCCCCCCCCCCCCCTTTTCCCTAATTTTTCCCCTCAGCTTATGGTAGAGCATTACGAACATGACTGCCCGGGATTCTGACAAGAACATGGCAATGCTTGAGCGGATATGGCGGATGGCTAGAGTCAGTGTAATGGCTAGTTTATTATTGCCCTAATACAGTTTGTAGCTGTTGCCAACGGTTTAGAGACGGAAGTACCCGATCACATTTGCCCACCAACAGATTAATCACTGAAAGCAGTGGTATGGGGTAGTAGCCAGCACGTACGTCGGCCAACCCAGTGGGCATGCACTCAGATCCCAAACAAAAGTCAGATTACTTATAAACTGGACATGGACTTCCAGAGCGACAAAGTCTCAGACTCATATATGGAAATATTCTGGTCGTTGGTACTACACGGTCAATAGAGACTGACGGGTCTATTAAATTTGAGGCCTAGTAGCAGAAAGGATCGATCAGCTTGTTCTCTCCCGGATGCTACCTAAAGATATGCCATACCATCCTGAGATAAAAGAAAAGAATACAAATCTCAATCTTGATGCCAGGCCACCAAGGCAGATATGAGAACTCCGTTCAACCTCCAAGAACACAGGCAGCGGTTACATCAGCCAGGATAACCTGCACTACTGTGTGGGTAAAGACAGGCGAAAGTGTCAAGGGTCCTTCATTATACAGTCGGCAACTATGGCGTAGGCTTTGTGAAGGCACTTCGTAATTCTCAAATGCATGGTTCGATTCCAGCTGCTGGCGATTTTGCAGAAGAATCCTCTGCGGTGATTTCGACACCGGGTATCGAAAACCCACCGTTTAAGTAAGCTATGGCAAAGTACTGAATGTAAAACTGCCTAACAGCCAACAAGTGCTGGGGTTGGTTCTGCCCTGTTCAAGATACACAACAAAGTTGGTTCCCTCAATACACGTTCCTATTTTGCCTGGGGTGGTCCTTCTTTGCATGGTACCCATGATGACATGCCTGACAGAAGACACTGCTGCCCTACCTGCCGGCTGACTCAGGCACGCAGGGATACACTCACTGTCAGCCGACGGCCCCAACACTAGCGTAGCCTCTCGCACTCAGTAATCCTTCTCCGGCCGGTTGATGTCAGCCATCAGCGCACTTCAAAGGAACGCTGTTTGCCTCAGAGACACGTGTATTAATCAACCTGTCGTGGGATGTGGGCCAAGTACAAGCTTGGAGTGTCGGCAGTGCCACGACGTTCGCTGGTCATGCAAGCAGTGCCGTTCACAATACTTTCTGTTACTTGATTAGGTCATGCAAGCAGCACGTTACTAAACAGTTATGCGCGTGTTTAAAAAACACTGACTCAATTCAATAAACGCAAAAACAGACACGATTTTCTTCTCTTAAAAAGTAGCGGACAGGCGTGAAAGGACAACATAAATAGCTAGCAGCCTGCGAATATATCCTCCTCTCTCTCTCCAAAGTAAACAGATGCTGAAACCTTTGTGCTAAGAGATAATAAGGTGGGCAATTTATTTGTGTATTTGTAAAGAGGGGGGGGGGAGAGAGAGAGAATTGCAATCACCCAACGACTGGAAATTAAAACGGCTCACGGCGGTAAGTCCCGATCAATAAACTGAGCGACTCAGTTCTACAGCCGAGCTGTGTGGCGGTGTAGGGTGGGTAAAGGACCACTTCATGCCGCGTGTTTCCTATAAACAAAGTGTTCTCTACATAACTCCAACCTATGCCCGACACGTTACATTTTTTCTACACCACCGTTGTCATTTTAACAGGTAGTCCCGCCTTCAGCGTCTGTAAGCCAAACTAAGTGTTACGGGTGGGTTCAAAAGGTAGTTTCCGCAATCCCTAGTTACATAATCAGACGGCCAAGCATCGTTTGTGTACGCCGAAACCAGTGTCACTGTTAGCTCCCAGTTCAAGCATGTGTGCTGTACCGCGTAGCCAACCAACTGTAACCAGGCTGCCAATAGGTTTTTTTTCTTTCTAAACCCAGCTTAGCTGAACAAAAACCCAAGTAATACACAGATAACGAAGATCCCCCAAAACCCCAGATTGTTAAAATGTAAAAAATTTATAGTTATGAAATAAAACATTTACCACGTTTATATAAAAATATAATATTTTTTTAAACCTAGATTTCTCCAAGGCGTCATATAAAAACCCAGATGGGGGGGGGGGGGGGGGCAACACAAATAGCCCTGACTGTAATCTTGATAAAAAGGAACACACACAAAAATAAAAAGCTTCTAACAGATGCGGGCTAGAGGGCAGGAAGGGAAAAGGCAACTGGTCAAGCGAATCGCTATCAGGGCAATAACACTGGCTTGGCGTGACGGCTTTTTACCGCTTGACTGAAACCAGGCATTCAAGTCTTCGGTTGTGGTGATGAGGTATGGGTGGAAGGGGCAGAACTGAGGCTTGTAAATCTTGTTCCTACACCACCACATGACGTGGACCTGGCCTGTGCCTGTATGTATAGGAACCTCTCCCACGACTACATGAATATGGACATATAGGAAATACTTTATAGACCAATCTGCACTCGATGGGTGATGTGGTCAGCAGCACCGACCGCCTTTACACACCTGCCATTTATTTAAGGCTGGGTCGATCTGTTACCGCGCCACAAAGTCATTTTTTAGTATGAAAAAAAAGACAGAAAAGGTCCGGCTCCGTTACGATCTGAACCTACAACTCTCTGATCCGCAGGCGAGCGTCTAGCCGCTAGACCACAGCTGCTCACTAATGGCCGCCTGTATTACACATATATTTCCCCATACGTCTGGAAGGACACAAGCCTTCATAGACTGAAAGTCAACGGTGTTCCCAGTTCTGCGTGCGGCATGAGAAAGAAAAAAGACCACAGGTCGAATTGCCTCTAGCGAAATGTAGATGGTATCTTCAAGAAATTAACTTAACAGAAATCCAAATGAGATCAAAGCCGGCAACTCGTTGTGATAAACGCTGCACTCATTTGCAAATCTACAACTGTTATCTTGAGAAATGCGAAACTAATGGGTTTTTTTTTAAAATACAAAGCATTGTGTGACGCTGGCGTGGGTGGTGCGGGGCAAACTTGCTCTGTTAATTGACTAGGAGAAGACAACCATTATGTACTAACTGTTAGCTTACCCTTCCTACTGCTAGATTCGTTAATAACAAAACTGCAGTGTGCTGGTCGGTACTGTGTTGCCAGCACAGTAAATGCCAGAACAATTTTAGATCAGTAGTGTATTGCCAGTACAGTAAATGCCAGAAAATCTTTGGTCGGTACTATGTTGTCTATACAGTAAATGCCAGAACAATCTTTGGTCGGTACTGTGTTGTCTATACAGTAAATGCCAGAAAATCTTTGGTCGGTACTGTGTTGCCAGCACAGTAAATGCCAGAACAATCTTTGGTCGGTACTGTGTTGTCAGTACAGTAAATGCCAGAACAATCTTTGGTCCGTACTGTGTTCAGAAACTGCAGAGATGTTTATTTTATAGACGAAAAGGACCATCACAGACACATCGTGAGAAGAAAATAACAAGGATATGTCGTGAGAAAAAAACGGAGGCTAAGAGACATGGGAGTCTAAATGAGAATAGATGCTGAACACCCTGGCATGGAGGAACACGTCTCAGAAGTTGATGCAAATATACGAAACAGAAAACTTAAATCAGGCATGACTACACACGTACATGGAACAGACTTTCAGAGGCCTATGTTAAACGTGACCCGCCAAACCTAGCAACCCATTAATTCAGCTACACGGGGTGAGTTTATTGCATGGCAAAGGCTTGCTCGTGTGCCTCTATTCCATAAAAAAGTAGCACTGCCGGCTGGACAAGCCCGTAGTGAGACAACAAGAGACGATTGGAGAAGTCTGGTCAGATCACATTTACAAGAGCTTTGAACACTCATCCCGCCAAAAATACCAAGAAACGGAGAGTCTGATGCGACACGTCAGCCTCAGTGGTGCATCTGAGTCATATACGTCTCAACCTGAGTCATATACGTCTCAACCTGAGTCATATATTTCTTTATCTGAGTCATATAGGTCTTACACGGATAATTAAGCTACACGTGCTTACTGACTTCCTTCCCACTCGCTGCCCCCCCCCCCCCAAGCCTACTTCCCACATTCCTGTCTGATTAAGCAAAGTCCTATAGGTATATTAATAAATGACTGCATTATGCAGTAAAATGTAGTGAACATGTCGATCATGGCGGACGGCGCAAACTTATTGGGAACTGCGTCCTCAAAACGGTTTCTTGGTTCCTTTTCCCATTCTATATTCGTATTTACTAGGGGACACTCAAAACCTTCACATTTAATCTGTTGCCTCCTGATGGATTTGTTTCAGTTGCACTGGGTAAATCTTTTTTTCTCGTCCCCTTAATTGATGACACCTTTATTCAAGCAGAGGGAACCTAACGGAGTAACGATGCGCACATAAGACTATTAATGCCTCTTATCCTCTTGCTCAATGCAGCTATCACCTTGATGCGGCGGGCCCTGTTGTATCTAGTATTCCAATGCCAGACTGGAGTTTTAATTCCCCCTACGGGAAACTGAATGGGACAACAAACAATTTAAAAGCGAAATCCGTTTCCGTCGGCTAGATACTGAGTTGAGTGCATGGTAGGGAACTGAGTTGTGATGCGTGTGCCAACTGTTGGATTTTTACCAGGACAGTAAAGTTGTATGTTTGACTTGTTACAGGGGACAGCGATGGAAATTTTGTGTGGTTGTCACTAGCACAGGGGCGCAACAGCTGTGGGGTAACCCGTTTGAAATGTGATTAGCACACCGACTGACTAACATTCCATTGCCGACAGTACCGTTTATCTCCTTGGTCTACGCCTTTTGAATATATAAGCTTTGGAAGTTTCGCGGCATATATGTTGCCTGCTTCGGCCCCAATCCAATTGGTCAAACTATCTTGACTCCAAAATCTCACATGAATGTCCTCAAATAAGTTTTTGGGCCATCCGATACTTTACAATTAATTTCCAGTTGTGATCTGCAACAGTAATTTGAAGTATAATGCTTCACAGGCTGTCTTCTTTTCGGGCAGTTAGTCTGCTGTGTTGTAATTTACAGCTTGGCAGCTTTTGGTTCAACACACCTAATTTTAATAAACCCCTAATTAGTCGCCCTTTATGACATGCTTGTTGGAGGAGGACCAATTCAAACCCCCCCCCCCCCCCCCACCCTACAATTGTACCCTAGTACGTATATACGCGCCGTGCGGAAAAGCGGCTCCCGTTCGTTCGAAGCCCGACACAAAAGTGTCCAGCTCTTGTGGCAGACGACATTTTAAGAATCGTCTTTGATTCGGCTGCTCACAAAGTGGTATTTAGAATGCTTGTAGCATTGAAAACCTAGAACATGGGACAGCCTGTGGGAAATCTCACGGCCGACGAGATGGGGTGATCTTCGTGATAAGTACCAAAAACAATACCAAGTCGTTTCAGCACGCCACATAAAGACTGGCTGGGATCAAGCCTAAGTTAGGGTCTGCTGAATATGTGTCTGAACCTAATCTTCGACTGGCGGAAACTACAGAATATATTTCCCTGCAAGCTTAAGAGCCAAATTATTCGTTTTAAAATTTACCTTTTTTAAGTAAAGAGGTGCACTTATAAAGCCAATTAACCGAATTATTAAAACATAAAAATGGGACATACATTACAAAGAATCTTTCTCTAATATAATTTTCCTTAAAGAAGAGAGTGTGCCTTACCTGTTTGTGCATCTCCACGTTCAATCCGTATGACATCTCATAGTACTGGAAAGAGAACAAAGCAGATCTGTTACAGAATAGGTCTCTTAAAGTCGAATTTCTGGTGTTTATCGGCTGCGTTTACTACTATATTCAATCTCAAAAAGCCGCCGTGGTGTAGTGGCTAGACGGATATAAAGGTGGGTACGGGCCCTGGCGGAACTGGAATTGTTTTTCATCAAAAATGACATTGGCTCCCAGGTCAAACTAGCCTCATATAGGTATTAGGTAACATGCCAGAGGCGCTGAAAAGGGTCTTAACTCTTCGTAATTTGAAGCTCTAATCATCATCATCATTTGCCAAGCAGATAAGTAGAGTATAGGCGTTTTTTCTTCGCCATCTAACACGATCACTAGTCGCAGATCAGATATAGGCCTTTCTACTGCTTATCCATGTTCTCAACTATATCTCTCTTTGCCTTTCCCTGGACATTTTTCTCATTAAGTTTGTCAGCTACAACTTTACATTTCAAATTTACTTCTTAAAAAATCAACTACAAAAATATGGTATTTCTGACTTTTTTTCCAACCAGTTCAAAATTTGGAGGCTACTTTATTTGTTTTTGTCTGTCAATTGTATTCTTTGCAATATACTCAAATAAATCCAAACTGACGCCAGTACATTATTGAGATTGTCTGCCTAATGGCCAGGTCTAATGTTGACCAAGCATCTTGATGTTGACACTTATCACTGCCACTAATATATGTCCTGTACGGAGTCTTTACTGTCATTTCCTAGTTCTCAACCACCTCTTACATAAAATATCAACACGTCTGTAAGGTGTGTCAATACGCTCAGGTATGTATAGCCTATCACTGGTTCGTACAATTTGCTTATAAATAAAAAAATACAAAGAAAGCTGCAGACAATCTAAAATCAACTTACACTACCAATTCGTTACTGTTTAGACCCCCCCCCCCCCCCCTTTTTTTTTCTCTCTCTCTCTTCCAGAGGCAATAATCAACAAAGAAAACACAATATAATCATATATTTTTTAAGTATAAAGTCACGGGAAACCAATATAAAGCAGATACAGAATAAACGAACAATCTGAACACACCCACCCTTAGTTCCCGCAGCTGAAAGATCCTTGGTATGTGAGCCATACCGGTTTTTGCAGTTTCCCGTGGTTGCGTTTAACAGGGAGGAGATCGGTGAGCCGTAAAACTAGGGCTTAATTATACAGTAACACGGTCTCATATTCCATGATCCGCACCAACACTGGGGTGTTCCGCAAGTCATCCTTGGTGTTTATTCGCTCGAGACCTCGCCTCGACCACCGATCTATTCCACCAACCCAGAATGATCACTGTGGCCTGTTTTCTCATTCAGTTATCTCCCATCCCTGTATTGCCAACCCAACCCCTTCCCTACTCTGCTGACGAAACTTATCCAACCTTTATATTGCTAACCAAGCTCCCCCCTCCCCCTCTTCCTCAAACACCACTGTATTTGCCAATCCCACCCCCCTCCCCCCAGGAAACGAACTAATGAAGCCCCAGCAGTTCTCTCAGGCAGCGCGTCATTAATCAGATCAGGAAAGAAGAAACCCTCACTCAAATTTCCAACCCCTGACATCGATTTCGTGATTTCAACTCATCTTCCCTCCTTTATGCTCGTTACGGATCTAACAAACCTCGTCGGAAGAGTCGACACAACCCGAAACAGAAAACCAGGGGGAGACAACGACAGGGCAGAGATGGGTGAGACGCAGACGGGGGGAAGGGGGGGGGGGAGGGGGGGGGGAAGAGGGGAAAGTTGCGGAAAATTCTAGATCGAAGCAGGGCTGTGAAGGGATCCTCAGACCCCTACTAGCTTCAAAGAAATGAGAATTCAAAGCGCGCTCTGTGAGTTCACTAATTTCCCTAGCATCGACTGGACGTCTGGTAAACAGAGATGGGCCTCTATTGACAAAGAAAGATCACTGGCTATCTACTTGTTTCCTAACTCTACAGGTGTCCATTTATCTTAACATGACCAAATATGTGTCTCCACTTACAGAGACAGGAGCCGACGTGATGTAGCGGTTAGACGCTCGCTTGCGGATCGGAAGGTCGTGGGTTCGAGCCCTGACGAAACAAGGCTTTTTTTTGGTCTTTAAAATTACCCTGGCTCCAATTCGACCCAGCCTCGAGTGGGTACCCGGTACTGTCCTGTGGGAAGTAAAGGCGGCCGGCGTGATGCTGACCACTTCACCCAGATTGTTCTACACTATATAGGTCTAGCCCTATTGGCGTGAAGGCGTGGGAAAAGGTCGATAAATGTTACTGGTGGGGCCGGCCAGGCTAATAAACACAATGGCCCGGTAGCAGAATGTGCGCTGCGTGCATAGGTACCGTGACACGGGTGGCTATTCCTTCTTCTTGATCAACGACTGTAAACTCTTGCGGAAAGTTCTGGTTGTTTGTCCACTTCTAGGCTTGGTCTTGTTACAGATTTAGCTTATGTGTACGCACACTGTCGGTTCCTTGCCTGAAGCAGCAGATGCACTGCGATTCTGAAGGAACACATAACTAGCAGACTATTTCTGACGTGCTTGTTAGGGAGCCAATGATCTAACCCCCGCCCCCACCCCAACCTCCGATGGGGTCCCAGAACCACAGAGGACCGTGGTAGCGAATTTCTAAATGTTTCGGATTTGTATCAGCCGCCCTGCATGATTTTAGTCATAATTGACATGAGGACCAAATTCGGCTCACCCTATAATTTGTACCAGGTCCTAGGAAGTAAAGGCGATCGGTGACATGTTAATCGCTTTACCACCAATCGCTCTTTTGTCTATAAAATAGCACTCTGAATGTGACAACGGTAATGGTTCTCGCGACTCTTTGTCCAGTACAGTAAATGTCAAGGACACATTCCCACGATTTGATGCACATGGTGGTAGTCCCAAATGTGTATGCACCAACTTGAGCAGGTGGCCTTTACTTTCCCTAATGTTTCCCAGTAAAATCTAGGAGGACCTGGGACATTTTTAAAATAAAAATGTAAATACATATCCACGCACCAGGGTGACAGACAAGCACGACACAAGACTAGCAGACAAGCTGGCTACAATACTCGTAGATGTCTTGTTATGTTTAGCCAGTAATTTCTAGCCAAAAATTTCAGCTACCCTTATAAACACGTACATTTTAACGCGTAACTGCTTAAGCATTGGCTAGCTAACTGTTATTCTTAGGACAGACGCAGACATATAAGAATAGTTGATAATCTGCTGTATCGTGGTTTAATCTGCAAGTCAACTCAAGTCGCTGGATTAATATTTTGAATAGGCTGCCTTCAACAAAGACCCCCCACCCCCGCCACCTTTTTGGGTGCTGAAGTCGTTTATGTAGGTTTTTTTTTTAGCCATACTGTAATTACTAACCACCGATAATATAAACCATTTCCCTTTTATTTTGTACCGATGAGCTATTGTGTTTATCATAACCGATATTCATCTCTATAATGAGCAATGCGGTAGTTTATCATCAGTAATTATTTTCCCGCCTAAGCTGTTACAAAGAACTAGCGAGTATTTCATTAACTAGTTTCGTCTCTACCTGGTAATAATTAACTCAGTAATTAGCCGCTACAATGCTACTAGGAATTCATTAGCCGCTACAATGCTAGGAGGAATTCTTTCCCCTTTCCAGCTCAGAGAATAATCTGTGCAAACACCGGTTTTATTCGCGGCACAATGAATAAGCAAGGCGCACACAGACGAATACCAGAAATACACATAAAGGCAACAAGCCTCCCACATCCCCACGAAGCCGCCGCGACGAGAGCCAAAAAAAAAAAAAACAGACCACGGTACGCGTTAGGTGAACTCACTCGAGAGACGAGTTAGAAAGGTTAAAGCATTCTCTGCGGCCTCAAACCGGGAAACTATGAATAAGAAAGATAACAGCGGGGACTACAAATGGAGACTACAGACGGCATTAGGTTCATTACACCCCCCAGCAAAGCCTCATTAACCAGGTAACGGCAGTTTCACAGAACATAACTGCCGCAAAGGATGGGTGGGATGGTTGGGTATGTTCACCAAGTCGCGGCCTTCACATTAAACCGGCACTTCCGACAGTAGCCTTATGCATATTTACTTTGCATGTGCAAGCTTCAAGATTTTGCTGAGCTGACCAGTTTTTTTTTTTAGTAGTTCTCAAATGGGACAGTCAAGGAAATTTTATTGTGATTTCCCCTGGTAAAGGAGGGACTCATTGTGGCGTTGGCGGCTAGACGTCTGCCTATGGATCGGGAGGTCGTGGATTTGGGTCCCGAAAAAGTCGGACTTTCCCCCCCCCCCCCCCCCCCCCCACCCCAAAAAAATCTAGACCTATATGCCCAATTGTTACATTAACTCATTTTCTCTCAAAGTACTATTCTTCGCGTTTACCGGACATAGAATAAGACGGAAAGTTCTGGTTGTTTGCCCTCTTCTGGACTTTAGTCATGTTCCATAACTTGTTCGTACACACCAACTACAAATCTGGCTTATTTATATGCAAACTGTTGGTTCCTTGCCTATCAGGCAGATGCATCCCAACTATTAAGGCAACCCCTAATCAGTCGACTCCTATGACATGTTTGCTAGCGAGGCAGTGTTCTTCCTCCTCCCCCCCCCCCCCCCCCCCCCCAATGGAGCCTCGGAACCCACACGGGGAAAATTACTTTTATTTGTAACCTATTTACACCCAAACGGTTGTCACTGTAAACAGCTTCTCTGAGAGAATGGACCACCAGGTGAGGCAGAGGTTAAGGGGTGTTTCCAAGCCATCCAATCCAGATAACAGATAGGTGTTCCTCCTAATCTATTCTTGTTTAAACATAATAGCCTAGATATTGGGATAGAATGTAGTCTGTATTTATTGACTATTGTCTTACAAATGTAATGTGTCCACCCCCCCCCCCCCAGATTAATCAATCTACTATATAACAAATTAGTCCATATCCCCACCCCCTCCCACCACACATAAACCCGATCCTTCCCACCCACACACCAGATTCATGCTTCACCAACAAGTCTGTCGCACACGGCACAACCAACGGAAAGCAACACCCAAGACTGATGGGACATCGATTGTATAACTACATAACAAGTCGGCCTACTCTCTCTTGACACATTCTCGACAGACAAGCAGGCAGTTATCGGTAGAAACTGCTATATTTGCGCGACCTTTTTCTTCGATATCTAATAGCAGAGAGACATCAACAGTAAATACACTAGCGCCGAGCCAGGCACTGTCGCCGTGGGACAAACTAGCAACTACAACTATTTGCTATAATGGCGTCAGACAAGGTCTATAATCACAGCTCAAAATTTCGCATTACTGTGATTATCATGAAATGAAATATAGCTGTCGTTATGCCAGGTAATAGCTGCATTCATTATAGGCTTCCAAATTTGAATTTACAGTTAAAATAACAATTATGCAGTCTATTGATTTGTACAGGAAAATAAATACGATATAACAAGTTTGAACATACACGGGGTATACCAGGTTTTGGAAATACCTATTTCATACCTAGCATGAGGGGAGTGCAGCATTCTAAAGGGTGTTCGGTTTTTCCCTTTTCACAAGGGGATGTGGAAGTTCCACAGGTGTGGAGAAGAGGAGGGGGGGGGGGAATTGGAGCTGAGGAGATTCGCACTTCGTGTGACTGACCCTCTCGGTATCCAAACATACGAACAGGTAGTCAAAACAAGCTAGACATGTGGTCAGTAAACCAGTCAGGTGCCTTCTCCACAATTCCGATTCCTTTTGAGGGAAAAACAACAAAAGTTCTACCACTTTCAGACTGCTACTAGCTAGCCAAAACTGCTAACAGTCTCCGCCTATATTTATGGTCTGGGTTATTGGCGTCACGTCACTTTCATAACTAAAATGTTAGTACTTGCGCCTCTGGGCCTTCTCCCCAATGAAAACTGGCTGCATCGCCAGCATGCACACTGAGCTCTCATTGGCTGCTATACGTCCACCTCTTGATATTAATCATCCCATTTGCCTAGCTCTCACTTGCATTCCAAATCGTCCTTTCAGCATAGTTTTTACAAGTAAAAGCCCCCCCCCCCCCCCCCATCTTTTTTTTAGGTACGAGTAACGCATCGGACAAATGATGTGTGACTCACTCACACTTTCATAGGCCAATCTGCACTTAATGGGCAGCTGCCATTACCTCCCAGGACATTACCTGGCACCCATTATGGGCCAGACCAACACCAACTATAACAAATAATCTGCCTCCGTGTGAATTCAACCTCACATTAATCCCTTACGCTCCAGTTGTAATAAAATCTGCCTTTCATGCCGTCAAAATATCAAACCTATCTCTGTTGACCCCACCCCTCCCAACTTTCTTTTCACTTTCGCTCTAAGTGTATGGTGAACAAAACATAATATGCAGGACCGGCTATACAGAAATGAGAAAATCAATACAAACCTGGCCAATTAACTTAAGATAACAGGGAGTTTTATTGGCAAGTCAAGCGAGTTAAAGATCAGAACCAATTTAAGGTATCTGGGGGTTATTTAGGCGACTAGATAGAACACACTTGCCATGAAGTGGAGGCAAAGGTTTGTGTCATGGTATTGCCTAACGGTACCTTTCTGTTTACTGCGGTGTTTATTCCTGTATGACTGGACATGTTATGTGGGTCAGTCTGAGGGTTCATGTGTTATTTATATATATCCTGTGTTATTTTTATATCCTACTGAAAAATGTGGTCATCAGTGATTGTCTATCCCCCGTGTATGTGTGCGTAATAAGCGTCTACCCCCCCCCCCCCCTGCTCTTGTTTTAGGTCCTGTCTGGAGATACAACTGTTAATTCTCAGATTATTTATAACGTCTTGTGGTGAGGACAGCAGGGGAAAAGTTTCACCTCACCAATCGTGAGATTTCCCTCTTTTCTAGCTTGGCATTGAGAGAATGACCGGATTAAGATCTGATATCCTTGCACTGGGGCACATTCCCATGGGTGCACGGTTTCCTTCCTTCCTCGGTAGCTAACAGTGAGTTTCCATTCTGATGGTCCAGGTTGAAACTTGATTAAAATGACTTCTGTCTTGTCCCATGGGTGTTGAGTGTGTCCAGATCCTCTTTCTCACTTCCCGCTGAAATCTCTTTTCTTCTTCTTGGCATTCACTGTAAACTTCAGGAAAAAGTTCTGGTTGTTCATCCACTCTTGGACTGGTTTTGATCCAGAATGTGAGTGTCGCATGCACATACATATTACACAAATCTGGCTTATTCATATGCAGAATGTTGGTTCCTTGTCCCTCTAGGAGATGCACTCCAACTTCAAAAGAAACACCTTTAATTAGTCGCCTCATGCTTGTGGCTGGGGGGATCTAGCATATGCTCTCCCAAATGGTGCCCCAGAACCCACATGTGGAACCATTGAATCAGTCTCTCCGAGAATGAACCATTCTGCTACACTATCCAGCTGATTGCGTAGTGGTGCTTTAAAAACTGTATATTGTGACACGGTGTGTAGGCTGCAGTATAAACAAGATTTGATGTATGTATCCGCATCTCTTATAAAAGGTGATTGAACCACTGGTTTGCTAGAATTATACTGTGATCAAATTCTGTCCCTCTAAAAAAAAAAATAAGTGTCAACGACATAAAAAGTTGAGAAAAAACTTTCACCACACATATCTTATTATAAGGAGCAAGCATCAAGAACACCGCCAAAACTACCTACATTAACCACTTCTGTGGCATAGGTAGCGAGGTGTTTGAGCCTGGGTATACAGGGTTGAATGGCCAATGATGCCCTGTGCAGATTTGGATTTTATTTTTGCTCCTGTGCCAAACATAAAACCAAAAAACCTTACCGGAGATTCGAACCAGAATCTCTTGCATGAGAGCTCTGCATGCTAAACTGTACGGGCAGCTGATCCTCAATGGAGTAAGAGCACCAACAGACATATGACAACAAGAACAATGACCTCATCAAACAACAATACTCACCATGACATAATGCCTCTGCATTTCAGTTTTTTCCTGGGCCAGTTTCTCACATTCCATTTTCAATCTGTGGAGCAGAACAATCAACATGAGACAACATTTACTGTCCAGAGAATCCCACACTACAACAATACTCAGAGCACTAGAACAATCAACATGAGACAACATTTAGTGTCCACAGAATCCCACACTACAACAATACTCAGAGAACTAGAACAATCAACATGAGACAACATTTAGTGTCCACAGAATCCCACACTACAACAATACTCTGAGCACTAGAACAATCAACATGAGACAACATTTACTGTCCACAAAATCCCACACTACAACAATACTCTGAGCACTAGAACATTCAACATGAGACAACATTTAGTGTCCACAGAATCCCACACTACAACAATACTCAGAGCACTAGAACAATCAACATGAGACAACATTTACTGTCCACAGAATCCCACACTACAACAATACTCAGAGCACTAGAACAATCAACATGAGACAACATTTACTGTCCAGAGAATCCCACACTACAACAATACTCAAAGCACTAGAACAATCAACATGAGACAACATTTACTGTCCAGAGAATCCCACACTACAACAATACTCAGAGCACTAGAACAATCAACATGAGACAACATTTACTGTCCAGAGAATCCCACACTACAACAATACTCAGAGCACTAGAACAAACAACATGAGACAACATTTACTGTCCAGAGAATCCCACACTACAACAATACTCAGAGCACTAGAACAAACAACATGAGACAATATTTACTGTCCAGAGAATCCCACACTACAACAATACTCAGAGCACTAGAACAATCAACATGAGACAATATTTACTGTCCAGAGAATCCCACACTACAACAATACTCAGAGCACTAGAACAATCAACATGAGACAACATTTACTGTCCAGAGAATCCCACACTACAACAATACTCAGAGCACTAGAACAATCAACATGAGACAATATTTACTGTCCAGAGAATCCCACACTACAAAAATACTCAGAGCACTAGAACAAACAACATGAGACAACATTTACTGTCCAGAGAATCCCACACTACAACAATACTCAGAGCACTAGAACAATCAACATGAGACAACATTTAGTGTCCACAGAATCCCACACTACAACAATACTCAGAGCACTAGAACAATCAACATGAGACAACATTTACTGTCCAGAGAATCCCACACTACAACAATACTCAGAGCACTAGAACAATAAACATGAGACAACATTTAGTGTCCACAGAATCCCACACTACAACAATACTCAGAGCACTAGAACAATCAACATGAGACAACATTTACTGTCCATAGAATCCCACACTACAACAATACTCAGAGCGCTAGAACAATCAACATGAGACAACATTTACTGTCCATAGAATCCCACACTACAACAATACTCAGAGCACTAGAACAATCAACATGAGACAACATTTACTGTCCATAGAATCCCACACTACAACAATACTCAGAGCACTAGAACAATCAACATGAGACAACATTTACTGTCCAGAGAATCCCACACTATAGCAGTACTCAGAACATCAGAGATATTACAACTACAACAATAGTCAGAACATCAGAGATATTACAACTACAACAATACTCAGAACATCAGAGATATTACAACTACTAACTTCACCACACATAGGGAGCCGCGATAGCTCAGTCGATAAGAGGCTCGCTTTCAGATCCAGCTGCGAATTGCTGCAGCCCACGGTCGGTGTTAGAAACCGGGCGGTTCCCGTGGTTCACCCAGCCTCTAGGAAATGGGTACCAGAGTTGACACTCTGGGGTAAATGGAGGAAGGTCGCTGTAACTACAGAGTTACGTGCGAACGACAACACTGGCGGACAATTCTTATCAGCTGTCCGTACTGGTGGCAGATCACTTATGGTTTACAACCGCGTGCAATGACGCTGGTTCACATCTCCCGATTTTACCTTTACCTTTACTAACTTCACCAAGGTCTTATCAAGAACCACTCAATCTTCTGGTCCTTTACCTCAAGCACTGGATGTAAACTTGCAAATTCATATCAGACACTGATACTAATGGCCTAAAGTGTTCTTTCTCCTTTTAACTTATCTGCATCTAAAGATTCAGTCATCTCCCCCCTTCCCCCGTCTGTTGCTACTTATTGTAATTACTTCCATGTTTCCTTGTAGTAACTATTCAGGTGTGTGTCATGTGTTTAAATCAACAATTTAATTCTCACATCCTCTAGGTTTCAACAGGAGTGTTGTGTATTTCCATTACATCTGTCTTTACTTCTAACATGGCATTCACAGCCTGTGATCCCAAACCTGCTCTTTCCTTGCCTTTCTCTAGGTAACTGCATTTTATCTTACCCCTACTATACTGTGTACAAATTTGTATATTGATATATTCACATAAGTGATAAAATAAATTTGTATTCAGTTTTAATTATATACTTAAGAACGGATGCCAAACAGAGACTGCAGACTTAGAAAAGTGGTGACAGACTTTTGAGAGCACTGACTATAGACTAGAAGACTGATGACAGACTTTTGAGAGCAATGACTGTACACTAGAAGACTGATGACAGACTCTTGAGAGCACTGACTATAGACTAGAAGACTGATGACAGACTCTTGAGAGCACTGACTATAGACTAGAAGACTGATGACAGACTCTTGAGAGCACTGACTATAGACTAGAAGACTGATGACAGACTCTTGAGAGCACTGACTATAGACTAGAAGACTGATGACAGACTCTTGAGAGCAATGACTGTACACTAGAAGACTGATGACAGACTCTTGAGAGCACTGACTATAGACTAGAAGACTGATGACAGACTCTTGAGAGCACTGACTATAGACTAGAAGACTGATGACAGACTCTTGAGAGCACTGACTATAGACTAGAAGACTGATGACAGACTCTTGAGAGCACTGACTATAGACTAGAAGACTGATGACAGACTCTTGAGAGCACTGACTATAGACTAGAAGACTGATGACAGACTCTTGAGAGCACTGACTATAGACTAGAAGACTGATGACAGACTCTTGAGAGCACTGACTATAGACTAGAAGACTGATGACAGACTCTTGAGAGCACTGACTATAGACTAGAAGACTGATGACAGACTCTTGAGAGCACTGACTATAGACTAGAAGACTGATGACAGACTCTTGAGAGCACTGACTATAGACTAGAAGACTGATGACAGACTCTTGAGAGCAATGACTGTACACTAGAAGACTGATGGCAGATTTTAAGAGCATGACTGTAGACTAAAAGAGTGATGGCAGACTTCTGAGTGTACTGACTATAAAACTAAAATAGTGATGTAAGATTTCTGAGTGCTGATACTGTAAACTAGAACAGTGACAGCGATATAACAGCAGTGGGGAAAACTACAACAATCAATGTCTGGAAATGAATCAAGTGTTGCCTAGAAGATTTTTTTTCTTCCAAAAACAGAACTCTGGGACTGGAAAACTAACTGGACTAATTATGAAACAATTCATCTGTATCTAATTTCATTCTTGTTGTCTGAGCAAGGCACACAACCAACCAATGAAAACCATTTCTAAACTACATTGAGAAATGACAGGTCAAATGGTTTTGACATTTTTGGAGATCACCACAAGATACTGTACCACAGATAGCCCTTATCATTCAGAGACAATGAAAGCAAAGCCATAGGTCACCTAATTAAGCGGTGGATAGATGGAATATCTAAGACCACGGAATACCAGCCAGAAAATAAAAACATGAGAAAATAAGTAAGTGGTGGCAGAGCTTGCAAGTACAAGAAACGTGTGTGTACTTTCAGACATCTGCCACAGCGCCATGATGTTCAGCTGGAGCAACAAGAGAAGTCATACTTACGTGTGATATTGAGCCTGGAGAAAGCTGAACTCTTCTTTGATTCGATCACATGATTCGGCAACTGTAAACTTGAAAGGCTGGCCAGGCTGAGGCCCCTAATAATGATAAATAATGAGTCATTGTGATCTATAGTAATCATGTGTAAATCCACAATAAACTGAATGGTATTCATCTGAGACAAGCATCCAGGTATATAGACAACATTAGAAAACAGCTATGTAACTGAGATTGCGAACTGGAACAGGATGAGCTCAACCAATTTATTTAAAAAAAAAAAAATCTTTTGCAATAAATCAGTCATCTGAGGTTCCTTAAAGGATTTATACATGTATAAAAACAAGCTAGTGTTAACATACATGGCATTCTTCCTAGTGTTAACATACATGGCATTCTTCCTAGTGTTAACATACATGGCATTCTTCCTTATGTTTTGTCCCACCTGGGCTGCTAGCTAAACGCTGACCACTGAGATTCAACAATCGCAATCTGGATGGCAGCCCAACAGGGAAACCCCAGATATCATCAGACACCCACAGAAGTTATAATTGGGGCACCTTTAGTTACACCAGCCTGGTGTAGACTGCAATCATGTACAGGGAAGGATTGGACTGACCATCAAATGTGCAACACAAGATTGGGCACAAGCACAATAAAATCACTGTTCTCTGAGATATTATTTCTACAGAAGAATGCTATAAATTAATTCCACAGCAAAAATCAGAGCAATACAAATTTCGGTACAGGTCGTGATAAGCGGCCCAGGATTCGAGTAATTTCCCTTGCCATTCTTGCCTCCTTAGGTCGCTGAAACTCTCCTATGCTGTAGGGAAGTCATGTCTTCTTTACTGTGAACGCTTTAACTGTTGTCTCTTTTCTTGTTCTGCTACCTCCATGATGGCTTGGGAGTATATAAACAGCAATATTTGTCTATTCCTACACTCCTTATAACTGCTTTATTTCTCTTGGGTGCGAGCCACCGCCAACAAATGTAGAAATAGAAAAACCTTCTGGTTTCAATAGCCAAGAATCAAAGCGCCTGCAGCGCATCCCCACACACTACTTTTTACTTGCACACAGGAACCTTTGGCACCTGAAACTCACAACAATGCAACCTTCCCCATACATTACATCCTGTGAGCGAACGCCAAAACAAGCCATATCATAACACCCCTGCAACAAATGAGAGGTCCAGTGACCTAGTGAGGAGTGAATGGCAAGGGAAGTTGTTCTAATACTAGGCCGCTTATCGCGACAAGTTCGCAAATGTCTTGGAAAAAGTTTAAGAATTTTGTGTGTGTGTGTGACCACATCAGAAGAACAGAAACCATAGGACATGCAACAAATGAAACTTCTTTTCCTGTTCCCTGCCAGTGGTTTCTCAGGCCTCTATGAAGCCTATGATGTGCCTGCCACATGTCTTCCACTGTTCCACACAGCTTTGTTTCCACTGGAATGCCAACCAGACAAAACTGGGAGACCTCTACCACATGTAGTGGGCATGTCTGTAGCATATGCTTGGTATTCTGTGGTGCATGTCCACATAGGCATATTTCTGAATCTCCAATCTCAAATTTACAGAAGTTACTGATCACACGGCTGCAGAGTCTGTTGTGCCCGGCAGGCAATCTAAACCTAATGATCTCAGTTTTTCCTGTGAGGAGGTTGACTGGGTCTTCCTGAATGTGTCTTGGGTGGGAAGTGTTCCACCAATGAGCTCTATTGGCTGCCCTGATCTGAGCTTTATTTTTCTCACATCTTATATTTGGCTGTCATAACGAAAAAATAAGAGACAAAATTGCACCACATGAAATTTATACATGATGCTGGAGGCTATGAGATGCACAAGTGGGCAAGACATGTGATAATCAACGGGTCATGTATGGTGCTTTGGGAGTAAGGAACAATTGTAACTCTTAAGCAAAGTCTGATGTGTTAATGAATCAATCCTATGATTTTCTCCCCATAGAATGTTTTCTTATATTATTTTTTTTTTGTCAGAATGCACTAAAGAAAGTGGCCACCGCCACTGTGTACATTGCAACTTTGAAAGTAATGAAATGCACACAAATGTTCATCATGCTTATTTCTTCACATTGGAATCTCCTCTTAAACCTTCTGGTAGCAAAAGTATTAAACATAATGCAGTAAATAAAAAATGTACTAGATAACAGCTGCACCCACCACGTACTGTTAAGCAGAGCAATCTAAGTAGTAACTGATACTGCAACTGTAATCAAAACGTAGTGTAGGGTAGTCATAAAACTGTTCATTTGTTGATATAATTTACTGAACTATTGAGTTTATACTGCACTGTGGTTCACTACCGGAATTCTCGTTGTTCAAATATGAAGAAGAAAAAAGAAAAACTGAACACTGCTACTCAAACACAGCAATGCCCAAATTTATTAAATCATTTTAACCCAGAGGAAATGTAATTGATATGAACTTTTTTGTTTTAACTTTTTTTTTTTTAAATGTTAAACTGTTAATAGATAATGGTTTTTCAATTATATAACGGCTTGGCGTGTCTACTGTACATGTGCATACAGTATAGTATGTCAGTGGTGGAATAAATCGGTACTAATCCGTGCCTTACATCGTCTATCGACAGTCTGCACGTGTGTGTCCTCCATCCTGGTTGCATTTCTGGCCTTTCCCGGCTTCTAAATATCAATCAACTGAGTGAATGTACGTATACGCCATCAACAACACAATATTTGAGCTGTACATACAGTTCATAACAGTGTATCATCAAGGTATGAACAGGGGAAATGTTAAAGTTCTTAGTTATCTAATCAACTCTAGGCTTTTCTCAATCCCAAACACCTATCTAGAAGAAGAGACAGAATGTAAAAAAGACAAACTCAGTCTGAACGACCGAACGTACAAAAGACAAATCTGTTTGCACTTACCGGATGTCGGTTAGGATACATGTTCTTGATTCTACAGGGGGGAACTAATACAACTTTTAAACAAACAACAGCTTCGTGAAATAACCGGCGAACACACGATTTCTATTTTATTTTACCGATAACCACACAACGCCATTTTCACGACTTCATATCCCATCATTCCTGAAGAAGAAAACAAAAAAAGACTAGAGAAACATCAGCGAGGTGTTGAATCCCGCCAAGAAAAGATGGAAGCTCCTTGCACACACTGAAACAGGGGTGACTCACACCATCGACGTTACTCCACAGTTGACAACGAAATATGTATATCCTGAAATTGTGAAACTCACGATTTACTAGCAAATACGCTACACTAATGATATACGATCCGTGAGGATAAAATATGCAACAAAAACTATATAAAAATAACAGAAGAAAGATGTATCCGTGAAAAGCACCAGCTTGAACTATCCACTAGCGCCGACTACACACGCCAACCAGTTCGTCTGAACAATGGAAATGGCAAGCAAGGGCTGTCATGCAATGTGCGCGCTGATTGGCTACAAGCCGTCAGTCTGTGGCCGAAACTCCAACGTGGGCTCATTATTTATGCGCCATGTCGGACCAATAAAATTGTAGTCAACTGTCAGAAGTATGAAATGTCCACCTCTTCGATTTGACAGCAAATGTCCACCAGAATTAGCTCCGCCTACTACGTTTTGTTAACTCTGAATCGATTATTATTTTTTTTCCCTTTTCTGGCGGGTTTTATTACCCCAAAAAAAATTTTTTTTGAGTGGAAGGTGTCGAGTGTTTGGGGGAACATTTGTCAGATGAACACGACTGATCGACGGCGCACTGTATTTGTTGTAGGCGTCACGGTCCCGCTTAAACAAGAAACAAATATTACAGTTTTTAACAACAAAAGTCAAGGACTCTACTTATACTTGGTTACAATTGCATGATCTAATTACAACCTTGAAAGGTCCTACAAAAGTCGACAGTAGTTAATAACGCGTTCTATACATTGTTCTCAATGTTTCTGATTTGAATCTTGATATATGAAGATTACCATGTGGCCACAGGAGGCAACCAGTTTGTCTTTTAAAGTTTAAGCATTTGTATGTTCATATTTTCCTCATACAAGACAGGGATGCTTTGAGCACAATGGCACGCTTCACTTGGAAGGTCACGGATAGTGAGCATACTTTGAAACTTTTCTCCAGGCCAACCCGGCGTGGTGGGGAATGAACAGGCATACAGAATGGCTGGATCCTCACCACTGGGTGGTGAATTAGATGACACGGCAGATATGGTCAAACACCTTTGGGAACATGTAACGAAGTCAGTAGAGAAACAAGATTATAACGGCCTGAATAGAATGGTGCACCTAGGTGTAACTAGAGGGTCTGGCCGGCTCACTACACTCAGAGGAAAGGCAAGACGGACATTTAACCAGATTATAACCGGTACCATCAGTATTGGAACTCTGCGCTGGCTGCTAAAGATGGGGACGGAGCGCGCATTGGAATGCCTTGAATCGTGTGATGTCATTTCTACTCAACTCAATTGAACTCATATGAAGTAAATGTCTGACATTTTGGAGCAAAAATGGAGATAGCCTAAAAATGCCCAAAATTGAGATTTTTCCACAGGCGCGCGCATGTATTTACTTCATATATCTTTCTTATTGGGGGTGAGAGAGTTCTTGAAAACTACATAGTACTAATCAAGATGTATGGTTGTAAATCACAGACAGTGAGAACATTAGCTAGACCTTAAACAACAGTTGCAGAAACATGGTTTCAACAAGGATGACGAAAAAAACCTGGATAGATAAAAAGTGTAATGAAGATGTCTTGAGACAAAGTAACCCAGAGACAAAGAAAACTGGTTACCCACGTCAGAAAGGGGGGGGGGGGTGGTTTCCTTGGGCGTGTCAAGAGGGTGGGAAACATGAGAACGTGATACCAACGGAAGAGTTGTGGGGGGGGGGGTTGAATGGGCGGGGGGAGCGCATAGGAGACAATGCTAGCGTGGGCATCATGGAATGGACGACACATTATAAATAACTGGCAGAGTACAAGCCTGGAAATGATGGACGGGTACGACGACCAGCGTCACACGAAAGGGGGAGGGGACTTTTAAGAAAACTGCAACTCTTTACATATATAGCGACTAGTATCAAAAACTGTTTAGACCAGTGATTCCCAAACTGTGCGCCGTGGCCACCCAGGGAGCCGCGACCAATTCACAGGGGCGCCGCGAAATATTTAAAGATACACGAGTTTTATCATTTATTATTTTGTTTTCTCTTAAACATACGAATAGTCATACTTTTACTTGGGTTAGGGGGCTGTGGACTAATTGTAATTGCAAAAAGGCGCCGCGACTAAGAAACGTTTGAGAAACACTGGTTTAGACTATAGACCAATCGGCACTCGGTGGATAATATGGTCACGCTGGCCGCCTTTACTTCCCACGATATAACCTAGTACTCATTTTAGGCTGGGCTTGTCTAGGAGCCAAGGTTAGTTCTGGGGAAAATCAGCCTCCATGTGGATTTGAACACTAGACCATCCGACCGAAACGCCGAGCTTCTAGTGGTTCGGCTAGTGCCACTTCCGATAAATAGTAGTACTGAGTGCTCTCGAGGTATGGCGTCCGCCTCGAGTGCTTGGAGGTCCCAGGTTCAAGCCTCAGTGAAGGCTGAGATTTTCCGAGTGGACTTCTAGTAATTCCCTCCTAGTCTCTGGGTTAAGGATCGGACGCCGGTGTGTATTGTTGCGCAAATTTAAAAAAATCCCTTGGAGTTTAAAAAAAAATATACCCAAAGGATTCTAGAATCCTCGACGGTGCAACGGAGTTCGTGCACTGCGCTGAGATTCTTTAGACTCAGGCTTGAGTTAGAAGTAGAACGGAGCACTTGTAGGGTGCACCCGTGCGCCATGATATTGATTTGTTGAATAAACATAAATAAACAAGTATTATTTCGGGTAATTCCTTTGAACGTTTGTATATTTTGTCCTTTCAGAGAGCAATGAAGTCTGTGCCCTGATCACCACCGCCCGCATGTTAATAAATACAAGTTAGCTGCTTATCCTTTAGCTCAGTGTTCTTCAACCTGTGTGACCCCCAGTCCACTTATGGGCTGCGGAAAAGTCCAAAAATGGCTGCCTCGTGATTTATAAGAATAGGGTAGGTAGATTTCCAGGTTCTTTCATAATATCCTACCCCAGATGACGTCACAGGACAGTCCAACATTTTCATGGGTGGTTAGACTGGGAAAATTTCCCGGCTTTCTGATGCATTTAACGACCCCAAGATATGTATAACTGGCATTAACCCCAACCCACCTACGTCCCACGAGAGATTGCAGCCTAGGTCCCTCGACTGCATGCAGCCTACGTCCCATGACTGCAAGAGGCCTATCTACCACCCCCTGAAATATTAGACTATCCCGTGACCTGTGGATTTCAACTGTTTGGGGTAGGATATTTAGAAAGCACCGATTTCCATTACGTGATTGGGTCTGTAGGGTTTAAACCTCAAGAATTAGAACCAAATAGTTACACTTCAGAGAAACCCCGTTTAATCGCAAAGAACAGATTATACTGGGACATTTTGGAGCATATTCTAACCCACCAAATAGCAGCCGATGTCGCCATTGTTAAGAGTCGTATGGCAAAGGCGTTTGACAAATTACTGCTACCTACATTTAATTTTGTTTCTGTGTTTGATTATTTGTGAGAAAGACCGCGAAACATTGTCCCCTGTTGTAGTGGACCACGAAACATTGTCCCTTGTTGTAGTGGTCCACGAAACATTGTCCCCTGTCATAGTGGGCCGCGAAAAATTGTCCCCTGTTGTTCTGGTCCACGAAACATTGTCCCCTGTTGTGGTGTTCAACGAAACATTGCCCCATGTTGTTCTGTTCCACGAAACATTGTCCCCTGTTGTAGTGGTCCACGAAACATTGTCCCCTGTTGTAGTGGTCCACGAAACATTGTCCCCTGTTGTAGTGGGCCGCGAAACATTGTACCCCGTTGTTCTGGTCCACGAAACATTGTCCCCTGTTGTAGTGGTCTACGAAACATTGTCCCCTGTTGTAGTGGTCCATGAAACATTGTCCCCTGTTGTAGTGGTCCACGAAACATTGTCCCCTGTTGTTCTGGTCCACGAAACATTGTTCCCTGTTGTAGTGGTCCACGAAACATTGTCCCCTGTTGTAGTGGTCCACGAAACATTGTCCCCTGTCATAATGGGCCGCGAAACATTGTCCCCTGTTGTTCTGGTCCACGAAACATTGTCCCCTGTTGTAGTGTTCCACGAAACATTGTCCGATGTTGTCCTGTTCCACGAAACATTGTCCCCTGTTGTAGTGGTCCACGAAACATTGTCCCCTGTTGTAGTGGTCCACGAAACATTGTCCCCTATTGTGGTGGGCCGCGAAACATTGTCCCTTGTTGTTCTGGTCCACGAAACATTGTCCCCTCTTGTAATGGTCTACGAAACATTGTCCCCTGTTGTTCTGGTCCACGAAACATTGTCCCCTGTTGTAGTGGTCCACGAAACATTGTCCCTTGTCATAATGGGCCGCGAAACATTGTCCCCTGTTGTTCTGGTCCACGAAACATTGTCCCCTGTTGTAGTGTTCCACGAAACATTGTCCCATGTTGTCCTGTTCCACGAAACATTGTCCCCTGTTGTAGTGGTCCACGAAACATTGTCCCCTGTTGTAGTGGTCCACGAAACATTGTCCCCTATTGTAGTGGGCCGCGAAACAATGTCCCTTGTTGTTCTGGTCCACGAAACATTGTCCCCTCTTGTAATGGTCTACGAAACATTGTCCCCTGTTGTTCTGGTCCACGAAATATTGTCCCCTGTTGTAGTGGTCCACGAAACATTGTCCCCTGTTGTAGTGGGCCACGAAACATTGTCCACTGTTGTTCTGGTCCACGAAACATTGTCCCCTGTTGTAGTGGTCCACGAAACATTGTCCCCTGTTGTAGTGGTCTACGAAACATTGTCCCCTGTTGTTC